AAGAAGAGGGAAGTGACCAGTATGGTCAGTGCCCATTGAGGTCAAGTCAGACAAGGCAAGAGATGTGTGACCCTTGATTTGACAAAGAGCAGGTCAACCCCTCCTTGCTTCACTCCGCACCTCCTGCCATGGGAGACCAGTTCTGGCAAAGTCAGAGGAAGAGCTAGATCGTTCCTCTCTCCCCTCCCCAACACCCTATTATGAACATTTTAAACCTACTGATAAGCTGAATGAGTAATGCAGGAATGTGTACACCCTTCACCTCGATTCAACCATAGTTGACATTGGGCCATATTCATGTTGTCCAGCCACCTAGTCATACTGGTTTTTAGCTGAATCACGAAAGCTGCAGACATCATGACTTCTCAGTCCTAACTTCTTCTTCTGTTTTTAAAAAAAATATATTTTATTGATTTTTCATAGAGGGGAAGAGAGAGGGATAGAGAGTTAGAAACATCGATGAGAGAGAATCATCGATCAGCTGCCTCTTGCACACCCCCTACCGGGGATGTGCCCGCAACCAAGGTACATGCCCTTGACTGGAATCGAACCCGGGACCTTTCAGTCCGCAGGAGCCAAACCGGTTTCGGCTCAGTCCTAACTTCTAATCAGCATCTAAAGCCAGATTAAAGTGATAGATAAGTGAATAGCAGCTGAATGAATAAAACACAGTGAATGACAGTGAATGGGAACTTTGCTCTCAAGAAGTTTGAATGGTGTGGCCGGCATGGCTCTGTGGTTGAGCATCGAACTGTGAATCAGGAAGTTATGGTTTGATGCCTGGTCAGGCACATGCCTGGGTTGTGGGCTCGATCCCCAGTAGGGGGCATGCAGGAGGCAGCCCATCAGTGATTCTCATCATTGATGTTTCTCCCTTTCTCTCTTTCTCCCCTTCCTCTCTGAAATCAATAAAAATGTAATTTTTTAATTTATTTTTTATTTTTTATAAAAAGAAGTTTGAGTGGAAAGGAGAAGGAGGAAAAGAGTTTCTGGAGAAGAACGCAGGTTCAGGGAAGTTTATCCTTTATTTTTTAATGTATTTTTTATTGTTGATAATATTACTGATGTCTCCCATTCTCTTCCCCGCCTCCCCCCCCCCCCCCATTTTCTCCCTTCTCCCAGCCTCTACCCATTCCTCCAGGTCTTTTCTTTCTTTCTTTTTTTTATAAATATATTTTATTGATTTTTTACAGAGAGGAAGGGAGAGAGATAGAGTGCTAGAAACGTCGATGAGAGAGAAACATTGACCAGCTGCCTCTTGCACACCCCCCACTGGGGATGTGCTCGCAACCAAGGTCCATGCCCTTGACCGGAATCGAACCTGGGACCCTTCAGTCCGAAGACCAATGCTCTATCCACTGAGCCAAACTGGTTTCGGTGAAATTTGACATTTTTAAGCATCAAATTATTTATGATGTTAACACCTTCAGAAAACTTGACATATGAAGTTTTGAAACTTGCCATCAATTTTGTTGTGTTAACATACATATCAAATTGAACATATATTAACATATGTGTAACTCCATATATTGAAAAAAAATAATCCTCATTATTAACCGGTACACCTTTAAGAGCTGAAGAGCTGTTGGTCAGTTCGTTTTGTCCATTAGATCCCACGAATAAGTGAAGTCATGTGATATGTGGCTTTCTCAGTTTGGTTTATTTCACTTAGCGTAATGTTTTCTAGGTCCCTCCATGCTGTCCCAAAGGGTAAGAGAGCCCTCTTTTTTTTAAATATATTTCATTGATTTTTTACAGAGAGGAAGAGAGAGGGATAGAGAGCTAGAAACATGGATGAGAGAGAGACATCGACCAGCTGCCTCCTGCACACCCCCCACCAGCGATGTGCCTGCAACCAAGGTGCATGACCTTGGCCGGATTCAAACCTGGGTCCCTTCAGTCTGCAGGCCGACACTCTATCCACTGAGCCAAACTGGTTTCTGTGAGAGCCCTCTTTTTTTTTTTTACAGCTGCATAGTTTCACAGTGCCAATGTCCCACAGCTTTTTTATCTATTGGTCTGCTGATGGGCACTGGGCCATTTCCAAATCTTAGCTATCGTACATAACGCTGCTATGAGCATAGGGGTGCATACATTCTTTCTGACTGGTGATTTGGGCTTTTTAGCATATATTCCCAGAAGTGGGATCGCTGGGTCAAACAGAAGTTCCATTCTTACTTTTTTGAGGAAACTCCATACTGTTTTCCATAGTCTGTTTTATTTTTGTTTTGTTTGTTTATTAGGATGGGAGTGCCTAGAGCAAGTTTAGCTGCAGGTGGGAAAGGGCCAGGAAAGTGGGAGAAGCTGAAGGGAATGGAAGGAGGCACAAATACCGTGTTTCCCCGAAAATAAGACATTCTCCGAAAATAAGACCTACTTACTGGTTTCCTTCTGAGTGAAATATAAGGCATCCCACCCAAAAATAAGGCCCCCCCCCTAGGCTAAACATGAGAGATTTGATCCACTGATTCTGAAAGAAATGGAGTCACAAGAAATTCACCAGGAAATTCAGGAATTGGATTGTTAGGATGATGTTCCAGAAGATGATGACATGATTGTCATTGAATAAATGAGTAAATTCTTGATACTGTAGGATTCACAGTTTGTCTGCTTTGTGTTGACAACTACCGCACTACCGTACCGTATACAGATAATACATTTCCTTTATTTTCATTTAACAATAAATGTGTGTACCGTATTCTTCTTCATGGAAAAATAAGACATCCCCTGAAAAATAAGACCTAGCGCATCTTTGGGAGCAAAAATTAATACAAGACACTGTCTTATTTTCGGGGAAACAGGGTACTTAGGTGATGGAGGGGGTGGGGGGATGTGTTTCTAGAGCTGAGTGGGAGGAGTGGCCTGGCTTTAAGGCAGATCAGCTCTTCCTGGCAGAGAGGGGGGGGAGAGGAGAGCATAGATGTTGGGAGCCGCGAGGGATTTTATCAAAAGCAGAGGTGAGGGTGGGAACTTGAGGAAGGTTAAGGGCATTTGACATTAATTAACAGTGAATAAAGCCAGGGTAGAGACAGCGAGGACCAGAGGGCGAGGTTTGAGTGAGCAGGCGGAGGGATGACCTGGGAGGCCTCGGCCAGGTAGGGCAGGAGGTGAGATAAGAAGAGGCAAGAAGCCGAAACCGACTTAGCTCAGTGGATAGAGCGTCGGCCTGCGGACCGAAAGGTCCCAGGTTCGATTCCAGTCAAGGGCATGGACCTTGGTTGCGGGCACATCCCCAGTAGGGGGTGTGCAGGAGGCAGCTGATTGATGATTCTCCTCTCTCATGGATGTTTCTCTCTATCCCTCTCTCTTCCTCTCTGTAAAAAATCAACAAAATATATTAAATAAAATTAAAAAAAAAAAAAAAAAGAAGAGGCAAGAAGCTCTAGCCGGTTTGGCTCAGTCCATAGAGCACGTGTCAAACACAAGGCCCGCGGGCCAAATCCGTCCCGCCAGGCCTTGCAATGTGGCCCGCACCGCGCTGTCATCACTGCACTCCGCTGCGTTTCCATCAGAATGACAGTTTATGACTGTTCAGTAAACCATTCGGCCCGCGATTTAGGCTGGATTTTAGATTTTGGCCCCTTCTCTGATTGAGTTCGACACCCCTACCATAGAGCATTGGCCTGCAGACTAAAAGGTCCCGATTTGATTCTGGTCAAAGGCATGTACCTCGGTGGCAGGTTTAATCCCCAGCCCTGGTGGGGGTGCATGCAGGAGGCAACCAGTCGTTGTGTCTCTCGCACATCGATGTTTCTCTCTAGCTCCTCCCCTCCTTTCCACTCTCTCTAAAAATCAGTGGGGAAATATCCTCGAGTGAGGATTAACAAAAAAAAGTTGGATCAGAGTAAGAAGGGGAGGAGATAGAGAAGAGCAGTCCTGAGGGGGCAGAGGTCCCCCCTGGGGTGTGAGTGGAGGTGAGGAGGGCACCCCTCCACCTCCCTCCGCACCAGCTCCCCGGACCTCTGGCCTCCAGCTCAGAGATTGAGGCTGGCTCGGTGCCCAGTCTCCTCCCCTCCCCTCGGTCCTTGTCTCCGAGCCGCAGAGAGGAAACAAGAGCCTCTCTCCCCCCGCCAGTGTCCGGTTTCTGAGTTTCGGGGGCGGGCCGTCTGGTGCAGCGACAGGCGTCCCCACCTCCCCGGCCAGCTCATCCCGTCCCAGGGCAGGATCTGGTCCCGATGCAGCGGCTCCTGCAGCTCCCGGCGGCCGTGGCCAGGACAGGGGTCCGGGGGGCCGGCGGGGCCGACCAGGAGGCTGCCAGCCCCGTGCTGGCCCCAGAGGGCGGGCCTGCGCCATGGTACCAGGCCCTGCAGCCCGAGGAGCTCCGCTGGCTGCAGGCCCCAGAGGAGGACACGACCCCAGAGGCATCCCAGGAAGGACCAAGCCCTGAGCCCGGCCAAGGCCAGAGTCCGAGCCAGCCACTACGGTACAGAGGAAGCCCGGGGACCACACCTGGGAAGGCCAGGGATGGTCCCACCTGCTCAGAGGGAGGAGGACTGGGCTGGCATTTAGGGTCCAGGTGGGACACGGGGCCTGAATATGAGGAAGTGACCGGGAGCGTAAATCCCCAGAATTCTGAGCGGGGGGAGGAGGGTAGTAAAATGATGGAGGGTTGAGGTCCCATACTGACCTTTTCCCTCCCCCAGGCCTTGGTTGGAACGAGCTGTAGGTGAGGTTTAGGGACAGGATAAAGCTCAGACAGAGTCTGGCCAGCCTTTCCCGGCTTGTGAATTGGAACGTGTGGGTGAGCAGGGAGCATGACTGGCCTCAGATGCTCGCTTCACCCCAGAGAGTCCCTCCGGCCAGACAAGGGGTCAGGTCAGGGAGCGATGTAAGGGGATCTGACCTCGGAGAGTAAGGTTTCAAGGCCTCGGAGCCGCTGTGCTCCTCCCGTCCCCTCCCTCTGGGGAGCAGTCGCTGGTGAGAGTGAGGATGAGGGGCCCCAGGCGGTCTGTGTATGTTGGTGGCATCTGACAGTCCTGCCTGCCTGCGCTCCTGCCTACACCCAGTGGTTCCTGCCTTCCCCCTCCCCTCCCCCCCCCTTTAGTTCTCCGTGGCCCAGGGCCTGGGACCTTCAGGGGCCTGGAGTGTGTGCAGCAAGCTGGGTGGGTGGGAGTGGTGTGGGTGCCCTAGCGCAGGCCTGGGGCCGGGGGGGGGGGGGTGCCTCTGACAAGTGCCTGTGGCATCTGTGGGTGCGGCGAGGACACCTGGGTGTGAGGAGCGCTCTGCTCTATAGAGAACACCCAGTTTTAAAGAAATCTCCAACCTCCCTACTCCCAGGAGTGACAAGCAAGTGATAGATTAGATAGAGAAGGTAGCCAGAGACCGGGATGGCAGGACCCACACAGGCTTTATTGGAGGGAAGGGTACCCCTGCCGGCTGCTTCCAAGGAGAGGGGCGGAAGAGAGCCAGCAACGGGGCGAGGTGGGCGTACAAGCATCTTTAAGGATAGGGGGCGGGGCTTAGGGCACTCAGCACACACACTGATTGGTGATTAGGGACCTAGGGACTTAGGAATGGGGGGGGGGGGCTTAGGGTATTTGGCAGGTGCTGATTGGTGGTTCAGAGCTCAGGAATGTCTGGCCACAGGTGGGGTTTATGTCTGTCCATCAACTGGAGGACGGGAGGATCTATCAGCGAGGGCACCCACCTGGCTCCCCAGGAGGGCCCAGGATCTCTTGAGGCTGATGCAGCTGAACTTAGAAGCCTAAAATGCATCATCAGGAATCTCAAATAGGCCCTAGCCGGTTTGGCTCAGTGGTTAGAGAGTCGGCCTGTGGATCAGAGCCCCAGGTTTCAGTCTCTATGCTCACAGGGCAGCCTAGCAACAAAGTATTTGTTGAATGGTGAGTGAATGAATGAATGAATAAGTTCTTACTGCTTCTTTTTGAAGTTAAGAATGTTAATAAAGCCCTAGCGGGTTTGTCTCCCGGGAAATAGAGAATCAGCCTGCGGACTGAAGGGTCCTGGGTTTGATTCTGGTCAAGGGCATGTACCTCGGTTGCAGGCTCCTCCCCCACCTGGGTCATCCTAATATATAAAAAGCCAGGGGCCGTTACCACCGAAACAACCAGACGGATGACCAAACAGTAGGCTGCATGGGGCGACCAGGCCAGCAGGGGAGAGCAGTTGGGGCAGCCAGGCTGGCAGCGGGGGCGGTTAGAGGCGATCAGGCAGGCAGGTGAGCCAGCGGTCCCAGATTGTGAGAGGGATGTTTGACTTCCGGTTTAGGCCCAATTCCAGAGTCCTGGGTTGGAGAGGGTACAGGCTGGGCTGAGGGAGACACACACACACACACACACACACACACCCCGCTCCATGCACAAATTTCATGCACTGGGCCTCTAGTCTTATTATAAGAACACTGGTCCCACCCTACTCCAGTATGACCTCATCCTAACTACTAGTTAAAACGGCAAATAAAGTCACCTTCTGGGGCTCAGGAATTACGACTTCAGCATGTCTGTTTTTGTTTGTTGTTAATCCTCTCTCGAATATCTGACATTTAGGGAGAATGGAAGAGAGAGGGAAAGACAGAGGGAAACATCGATGTGAGAGAAACACACTGATTGGTTGCCTCCCGCATGAGCCCGACCAGGGCCCGGGCCAGGGAAGAACCTGAAGCCAACGTACATGCCCCTGACGGAATCGAACCCGGGATCCTTTGGTCCACAGGTTGGCACTCTATCCACTGAGCCACACTGGCTAGGACTCAACATCTCTTTTTTGGAGTGGGACACAGTCCAACCCATATCGCTGTCTGACTCACATGTCTTCCCCTCCCCCTCTGACGGGGTCCTGCCTGAGCCAGCCCCACCCACACCCCTTCTTTCTGTGTGGACCCTCCGGATTAACAGCCCCACCCCCACCCTGTGGCCTCCGCTGACTCCCTGTGCCTCCCGCCAGGCACGATGACCTGAAGGAGATGCTGGACAGCAACAAGGATTCCCTCAAGCTGGAGGCCATGAAGAGGATCGTGGCGGTAAGGGTGGCGGGGGAGGGGGAGAAAAAAAGGGGGTCTTCCTTGGGGAAGGGGCCTGGGGTCAAAGAGCATGTCCATCTCCGGACCATCTTCGTTTAAGTGCTGGCCTCCTCCCTCCTCCTCCTTCTCTTTTCCACTTCTTCCTTCTCCTCTTCCTACTCTTTCTCCTCTTCCTCCTCCTCCTCCTCCTCCTCCTCCTCCTTTTCCTCCTCTTCCTTCTCCTCTTCCACCTCTTCCTTCTCCTCTTCCTCCTCCTTCTCTTCCACCTTCTTTTCCACCTCTTCCTCCTCCTCCTCCACCTCCTCCTCCTCTTCTCCTCCTCCTCCTCCTTCTCTTCTTGCACCTCCTCCTCTCCCTTTTCCTCCTCCTCTTCCTTTTCCTCCTCCTTCTCCTCCTCCTCCTCCTCCTTCTCTTCCTCCCCCTCCTCCTCCTCCTCCTCCATCTCCTCCATCTCCTCCTCCTCCTCCTTCATCTCCTCCTCCTCCTCCTCCTCCTCCTCCTCCTCCTCCATCTCCTCCTCCTCCTCCATCTCCTCCATCTCCTCCTCCACGTCCTCCTCCTCCTCCACGTCCTCCTCCTTCTCCTCCTCCTTCTCCTCTTCCTCCTCCTCCTTCTCCTCTTCCTCCTCCTCCTTCTCCTCCTCCTTCTCCTCTTCCTCCTCCTCCTTCTCCTCCTGCCTCCTCCGTATCTTCTCCTCCTCCCTCCTCCTCCCTCCTCCTTCTCCTCCTCCCCCTCCTCCTCCTTCTCCTCCTCCATCTCCTCCTCCTCCATCTCCTCCATTTCTCCTCCTCCCGCCTCCATCTCCTCCCCCTCCATCTCTCTATCCACCTCCTCCTCTCTCCTTCTCCTCCTCCTTCTCCTCACCTTCTCCGCCTCCTTCTCCTCCTCCTTCTCCTCTTCCTCCTCCTCCTTCTCCTCTTCCTCCTCCTCCTTCTCCTCCTCCTTCTCCTCTTCCTCCTCCTCCTTCTCCTCCTCCTCCTCCTTCTCCTCCTCCTCCTCCTCCTCCTCCTCCTTCTCCTCCTCCCCCTCCTCCTTCTCCTCCTCCATCTCCTCCTCCTCCATCTCCTCCATCTCCTCCTCCTCCTCCTCCTCCTCCTCCTCCTCCATCTCCTCCTCCTCCATCTCCTCCATCTCCTCCATCTCCTCCTCTCCTCCTGACCTTGACCTCCCCATCCAGATGATCGCCCGGGGAAAGAACGCCTCAGACCTGTTTCCCGCGGTGGTGAAGAACGTGGCCTGTAAGAACATCGAGGTGAGCGCTCCCCGGCGAGGGGCCTCCTGCCGGTCCGGGGTGAGGGAGGGGGCCTCCAGCCCCTCCCCGGGGGGGCCTGCCCGGCTCGGAAATGTCCCCGGTCCTGTCCACCTGCCCCTGAACTGGATGTGGGTCAGAGGGAAGGTGGGTGGGCAGCACCCAAGGGATGCTCTTCCCCACCGGGGGGGTCTGTCCCCGAGGACCGCAGCCCGCCGGGCTGAGGACATCCATGGGGAGGGGGCACCGGTCCCCGCTGGAAACTCACCTCCCCCCCCTCAGGTGAAGAAGCTGGTGTACGTGTACCTGGTGCGTTACGCCGAGGAGCAGCAAGACCTGGCCCTGCTGTCCATCTCCACCTTTCAGCGCGGCCTCAAGGTCAGTGCCTGGGTGCGTGTGCTTCCATGGGGCGGGGCCCCGATGGTGCTGTGTTGGAGGAGAGGTTCGTTGGGGAGAGGCATGGAAGGACGGACTCTTAGAAGGGAGAGCAGCTTGCATTTGCTGGGAGCGGCCTATGCATGAGCACAAGGGAACTGAGGAACAGGGGCCGTGTACAGTGTTTCCCCGAAAATAAGACATCCTCCGAAAATAAGACCTACTTACAGGTTTCCTTCTGAGTGAAATATAAGGCACCCCCCCGAAAATAAGCCCCCCCCCCCCAGGCTCTGTCTCAGAATGCTATTGCTAAACATGAGAGATTTGGTCCACTGATTCTGAAAGAAATGGAGTCACAAGAAATTCACCAGGAAATTCAGGAATTGGATTGTGAGGATGATGTTCCAGAAGATGATGACATGATTGTCATTGAATAAATGAGTAAGTTCTTGATACTGTAGGATTCACAGTGTGTCTGGTTTCTATTGACAACTACCGTACTACCGTACCGTATACAGGGAATAAATTTCCTTTATTTTCATTTAGCAATAAATGTGTACCGTATTCTTCTTCATGGAACAATAAGACATCCCCTGAAAATAAGACCTAGCGTATCTTTGGGAGCAAAAATTAATGTAAGACACTGTCTTATTTTCGGGGAAACCGGGTAGGAACGTTAGGTGCTCCGAGAGTTCTCCCCTCTTCCTAAAAACAAAGCAGCCCAGTGCCACACCCGCTTAGATGTCCGATTTGTGCAGCCAGGGCCAAGAGTCCATGCCTTCAAGCAGTGCCCCCGCCCCCCACCCGGGTACCCACCCCTGGCACATCCTCCAGGGTCAGAACGGGGCAAGGAAGCCAGAGCTGGGGGTAGCCAGGGGCAGTGCAGTCCTCGGGGGTGGCCTCTCAGGGCGCTGCCCCCCCCTCTGCCCTCAGGACCCCAACCAGCTGATCCGCGCCAGCGCCCTCCGCGTCCTCTCCAGCATCCGCGTGCCCATCATCGTGCCCATCATGATGCTGGCCATCAAGGAGGCTGCCTCGGACATGTCGCCCTACGTGCGGAAAACGGCTGCCCACGCTATCCCCAAGCTCTACAGGTGTGCCCCCGCCCCGCCCCCACTCCTGGGGGGGGGTTCCCCAAGTCCCCAGCCCACCCCTGGCCTGTCCCAGGTCTTGCATGCTGCTTTGCTTTTTTTCTAAATGTATTTTTTAAAAAATATATTTTATTGATTTTTTACAGAGAGGAAGGGAGAGAGATAGAGAGCTAGAAAGGTTGATGAGAGAGAAACATCTGTCAGCTGCCTCCTGCACACCTCCCACTGGGGATGTGCCTGCAACCAAGGTACGTGCCCTCAACCAGAATCGAACCCGGGACCCTTCAGTCCCCAAGCCGACGCTCTATCCACTGAGCCAAACCGGTTTTGGCTTAAATGTATTTCTATTTTATTTTATTGATTTCAGAGAGGAAGGGAGAAGGAGAAATAGAAACATCAGTGGGATAAGAGAGAATCATGGATCGGCTGCCTCCTGCACGCCCCCCACTGGGGATGCATGTGTCCCCAAGGGGATCGAACTGTGACCTCCTGGTTTATAGGTCCATGCTCAACCACTGAGCCATGCTGGTCAGACATACCCTCCTTTTTAAAAAAATATATTTTATTGGTATTTTACAGAGAGGAAGAGAGAGGGATAGAAAGCTAGAAACATCATTGAGAGAGAAACATTGACCAGCTGCCTCCTGCACACCCCCTACTGGGGATGTGCCCGCAACCAAGGTACATGCGCCTGACCGGAATCGAACCTGGGACCCTTGAGTCCGCAGGCCGACGCTCTATTCACTGAGCCAAACCGGTCAGGCATACCCTTCTTCTTTTTTTTTTTTTTTTTTTACTCTTCAGCTGGTTTAAGACAGTTTGGGGCCCTAGCCCGTTTGGCTCAGTCTGCCTGAGGACTGAAGGGTCCCAGCTTCGATTCAGGTCAAGGGCAGATGCCCAGGTTGCAGGCCCTGTGTTGGGAACTGACAGATGGGGGACCGTGGAGCACGCTCCTACCAGGGTTGGGGTGAGGGAGGTGAGCACAACCTGGGCTGACGCTGGGAAGGATGGAGAAGGGAGGGGCAGCTGGCAAGGATGGAGGAGGCAGGGGCAGCTGAGAAGGATGGAGAAGGGTGGGGCAGGGCCCTCTCACCACTTCCTCCCGCAGTTTGGATTCCGACCAGAAGGACCAACTGATCGAGGTCATTGAGAAGCTCCTGGCCGACAAGACCACGGTGCGTCCAGGGTTGCACAGGCTGGCTGGGCGGCGGGAAGGAGCCTGACAGGAGGCCCTTCGGCCCTCCCTCCCTCCACCCTCCCCATGACCCTCTCGCTCCTCAGCTGGTGGCGGGCAGCGTGGTGATGGCCTTCGAGGAGGTGTGCCCGGAGCGCATCGACCTGATCCACAAGAACTACCGGAAGCTCTGCAACCTGCTCATCGACGTGGAGGAGTGGGGCCAGGTGGTCATCATCAGCATGCTCACCCGCTACGCGCGCACGCAGTTCCTGAGCCCCACGCAGAACGTGAGTGCCCGCCCCATCCCCCCAACCCCACCCACGCCCGCTGCCTGCACCCCTTCCACTCCCCTGTCTTCCCTGCAGGAATCCCTGCTGGAGGAGAACCCCGAGAAAGCCTTCTATGGCTCGGAGGAGGACGAGGCCAAGGGCGCAGGGTCCGAGGAGGCGGCCACCGCGGCGCTGCCCGCCCGGAAGCCCTATGTCATGGATCCCGACCACCGGCTGCTGCTGCGCAACACGAAGCCGCTGCTGCAGAGCCGCAGCGCCGCCGTGGTCATGGCCGTGGCGCAGCTCTACTTCCACTTGGCGCCCAAGGCCGAGGTGGGCGTCATCGCCAAGGCGCTGGTGCGCCTGCTGCGCAGCCACAGGTGCGGCCCTGGCCCCGCCCACACCGGTCCTGGTCCCGCCCACCCCAGCCCTGGCCCCTGCCCACATTCCTCGCCCTGGCCCCGCCCATACCTGCCCTGGCCACGCCCCACACAAGCCCTGTCACACCCACATTCCTCTCCCTGGCCACGCCCACCCCGCCCACTGGCCACTCCCGCCCTGGCCACGCCCACGCCAGCCATGGTCCCGTCCACTTCCTGGCCACGCCCACACTGGCCCTGGTCCCATCCAACTGGCCCTGGCCCCTCCCACTCGCCTGGCCAACCCTGCCCTGGACCATCCCATTTCTGGGCCTTGAGCCCCATCATAACCTCCTACCTGCCCACACCAGCACATCTCCTCTTTACTGGTGCCCTGGCCACACCGGTCCCCTCCTCCTTCCTACACTTGGTCCACTTTCCTTCCCCCCACGGCTGCCTCTTACCCCAGCGAGGGCCCCGCTTAACCTCTGACCCTCCTCCGCAGTGAGGTGCAGTACGTGGTGCTCCAGAACGTGGCCACCATGTCCATCAAGCGCCGGGTGAGCAAGTGACCAAGGACTGCCCTCCCCGTCCGTCCCCCCCGTCCAGTCCAAGGGTGGCTTCGGTGGCACCATGAGCTCATGGCGCCAGGGCTTCCGGGGAGAAGCAGGCTGGGAGAGGGCTTTGGCAGTGCGGCGTGGGGGAGGGGAGACCCCAAATGCAGGATCCTGGGGGCCACTTAGGAAGGAAAGGCCATGAAGAAAGACCGGTCAGATCCAGAGGGAGGAGGGGGAAACTGAGGAGTGAGGGGCAGTGGGGAGCAGGGGGAGGGGGCCCTGGAAGAGAGGCTGTGGGGGACTGACTCCCTGGCTGCCTCTCCCGTGCCAGGGTATGTTCGAGCCCTACCTGAAGAGCTTCTACATCCGGTCCACCGACCCCACCCAGATCAAGATCCTGAAGGTGAGTGACGTACCGAAGTGGGTGTGGCCTCTCTGGCCACGCCCCTCGTCCCCACAGACCCACTCAGGTATTCACAGTGGCCCCCTGGGCGCCTGCCCATGTGTGTGGGGGGTGGGGGGCGATGGGGAAGGGAACTGACCTTTGCCTCGACCTGTTGCCTCGACCTGTTCTATACCTGCCCGTTTTTTTTTTGTTTGTTTGTTTGTTTTAAATATATTTTATTGCTTTTTTACAGAGAGGAAGGGAGAGAGCTAGAGAGCTAGAAACGTCGATGAGAGAGAAACATCAACCAGCTGCCTCTTGCACACCCCCTACCGGGGATGTGCCCGCAACCAAGGCACCCACGCCCCTGACCGGAACTGAACGTGGGACCCTTCAATCTGCTGGCCAACGCTCCATCCACTGAGCCAAACCAGCCGGGGCTTTATGTTTTCTTTATTAATATTATTATTATTATTTCAATCCTTACCTGAGGATATTTTTTTCCATTGATTTTTAGAGAGACTGGAAGAGAGAGGGGAAAAACAGAGAGAAACATCAACGTGAGAGAAACACATCCATCGGTTGCCTCCTGCACACATCCTGACCAGGGCCCTGGCCGGGGAGGAGCCTGCAACCGAAGTACGTGCCCTTGACCAGAATCACACCCGGGACCGCTCTATCCACTGAGCCACACCGGCTAGGGCAGGCTTTCCGTTTTCAATGGATGGGGGCGAGGTGACATGCTCAGGCTGTCAGTGCATCTGTCGGGGAATCCATTTAAGAGGCAAAAAAGGTCCTCATGCGGTGAGGACAGGCTTTTTTTTTTTTTTTTTTTAATATATTTTATTGATTTTGTACAGAGTGGAAGGGAGAGGGATAGAGAGTTAGAAACATCGATGAGAGAGAGTCATCGATCAGCTGCCTCTTGCACACCCCCTACTGGGGATGTGCCCGCAACCAAGGTACACGCCCTTGACCGGAATCGAACCCGGGACCTTTCAGTCTCCAAGCCGATGCTCTATCCATTGAGCCACACCGGTTTCGGCGAGGACAGGCTTCTGACCTGTCAGCTCCCTGGCCAGGGGCTGCCTGAGGAGGGTTTGCTGGTGTGTAGGATGTGTCTGGTGTGACAGCACAGGACCTGCCCGCTCTCTGCCTTTCCTGCAGCTGGAAGTGCTGACCAACCTGGCCAATGAGACCAACATTCCCACGGTCCTGCGGGAATTCCAGGTACGGGCTGGGGCCGGTCCCATCCAGGGTGCCCGGTGAGCAGCCCGCAGCTCCCGTGCAGCGAGAGTCGCCCTGTGGGCCGACCGTCTGTCTCTTAAGGGGCCCGAGTGGAGAAACGGTGGTTACTGTATCTTAGGTTCTTTCCCGATGAGACCAGGGAATCCCTGGGCAGCGGGTGAGGGTGCCACTTCCCCTCCCGGAATTCAGTCTCCGGCGCGAGGAGTCACTGAACGAGGAGCGACAGGGCCCCTGAGGGGTCACCCCGTCGCCGATGTCCCGCAGACCTACATCCGCAGCATGGACAAGGACTTCGTGGCGGCCACGATCCAGGCCATCGGACGCTGCGCCACCAACATCGGCCGGGTCCGAGACACCTGCCTCAACGGCCTGGTGCAGCTGCTGTCCAACCGCGACGGTCAGTGCTGGTCCGGGCGTCCTACGTTTATGACCAGGCGTGCCCGTCCGTCTGTCCGCCTCACTCCAGGTGTCCCTGCGTCTCTCAGGGCCCCCGGAGGAGTGCAGGGGGTGAGGAGAAGAGAGCCGGGGTCTGGGGCGCTGCAGGGTCCGTCCACCTGTCCATCCGGCTCTCCCGTCCCGCAGAGCTGGTGGTGGCGGAGTCGGTGGTCGTCATTAAGAAGCTGCTGCAGATGCAGCCGGCGCAGCACGGGGAGATCATCAAGCACCTGGCGAAGCTCACGGACAACATCCAGGTGCGGACCGCAGTGACGCCGCGCCCCCTCCGCTCCCCACCTTACCCACCCCTGCGTCCTTCCCTGATCCCAAGCCCCTAGAATTAACAAAATCAACCTCCAGTCCTCCCACACTGGCTCTAATAGGTCCTTCCTTCCTTCCTTCCTTCCTTCCTCTCATTCTCCCCCTCCCTCTTCCTTCCTTCCTTCCTTCCTTCCTTCCTTCCTTCCTTCCTTCCTTCCTTTCTCTTTCTCTCTTTCTCCCCTTTCTTTCTTTCTTTCTTTCTTTTTTTTTTGAAAATATATTTTATTGATTTTTTTTTTTTTTTTACAGAGAGAAAGGGAGAGAGATAGAGAGCTAGAAATGTCGATGAGAGAGAAACATCGACCAGCTGCCTCCTGCACACCCCCTACCGGGGATGTGCCCGCAACCAAGGTACATGCCCTTGATTGGAATCGAACCTGGGACCTTTCAGTCTGCAGACCGACGCTCTACCACTGAGCCAAACCGGTTTCGGCACTTCCTTCCTTCCTTCCTTCCTTCCTTCCTTCCTTCCTTCCTTCCTTCCTTCCTTTCTTTCTTTCTGCCTCTCTCTCTCTCTCTCTCTCTCTCTCTCTCTCTCCTTCCCCCCCCCCCATGGGAAAGCTGGGGTCATGTGGCTCTGACCTTACTGCCCAAGATTCACCTTCCCCTTGGGGATCCCTCACTGAGCACCCCTTTTGTGTTTTCTCCAACCCTCTCGCCAGGGGTGGCTGGTTGACAGGTCCTGTGTTTTCCTGGCAAGTTGAAACTTTGAAACGAGGTGTTCCTGGAGATTCAGGAAGAGTGACACGGAGCAAAAGCATTGAGGACATAGCGGATCCAGGAAATCAGTCTTTAAAACCTGGACTGACATTAGGGCTTGAAGAAGCCAGTGAACCTGACCAGTATGGTTCAGTGTATAGAGCATCATCCTTAGGACTGAAGGGTCCCAGGTTCAATTCCCCAGTCAGGGCACCTGCCCGGCTTGCAGGCTCGATCCCCAGTGTGGGGCGTGTAGGAGGCAGCCGATCCATGATTCTCACTCATCATTGTTGTTTCTATCTCTCTCCCTCTTTCCCTTCCTCTCTGAAATCAATAAAAATGTATTTTAAAAAGAAAAGAAGCCAGTGGAACCCCAGGGAAGAAGGGCTGTGCTGCCCGGGAAACGCCCACCTTTTAAAAAACATATATAATTTTATTGATTTCAGAGAAGGGAGAGGGAGACAGAAACAACAATGATGAGAGAGTCATTGATTGGCTGTCTCCTGCACACCCCACCCTGGGGATCGAGCCACAACCCAGGCATGTGCCCTTGACCAGGAATCGAACCGCAAACTCCCAAGGTGGATGCTCAGCCACTGAGCTACATCAATCGGACTGCCCACCTTTTATTTTATTATTTTATTTTATTTTAATTTTATTATTTTATTTCATTTCATTTATTTTATTTTATTTTAATTTTATTTATTTTATTTTATTTTATTATTTTATTTTATTTTATTTATTTATTTTATTTATTTTATTTTATTATTTTATTTTATTGATTTTCCACAGAGAGGAAAGGAGAGGGAGAGAGAGCTAGAAATGTCGATGAGAGAGAAACATCAACCAGCTGCCCCTGGCACGCCCCCTATCGGGGATGTGCTCACAACCAACTTACATGCCCTTGACCGGAATCGAACCTAAGACCTTTCAGTCCGCAGGCCAACACACTGAGCCAAACCGGTTTTGGCAAGGCTGCCCACCTTTTAATACCTCTCCCGCTGCCCCCACTCTCGTTTCCGGAGGAGCCCATCACACCTCGGCCGGTGCAGATGGGAGGACGCCGATACCCTGGCAGGCTCTGTGCCTGCCCCTGTGCCCTGTTTCCCCGAGGTCCCGACGCCTCTCCCTCCGCCGCCGCAGGTGCCCATGGCCCGCGCCAGCATCCTGTGGCTCATCGGCGAGTACTGCGAGCACGTCCCCAAGATCGCCCCCGACGTCCTCCGGAAGATGGCCAAGTCCTTCACGGCCGAGGAGGACATCGTCAAGCTGCAGGTCATCAACCTGGCGGCCAAGCTCTACCTGACCAACTCGAAGCAGGTACAGATCGAGGGGTGCCAAGGTACATGCCCTTGACCGGAATCGAACCTGGGACCTTTCAGTCCCCAAGCCGACGCTCTATCCATTGAGCCAAACCGGTCCCGGCTCCATTGATTTTTTAAATTTTTTTAAAAAAAATTATGATACACAATCACTTTGTTTTTAAAAATATGTATCTTATTAATTTTTACCGAGAGGAAGGGAGAAGGATAGAGAGTTAGAAACATCGTTGAGAGAGAAACATCGACCAGCTGCCTCCTGCACACGCCCTACTAGGGAATGTGCCCGCAACC